TTAGGGTGTTCTCTAAGAAAAGTTAAATAGTAAAAGTCCATCTCACCCGGTTGACACACTTAGTCTTTCTTCGGTTTTGGAGCTGTCCCGGCTTTTGCAGTCTTGATGGCTGTCACTCTGTCGCTGGTTTTAGGGACTTCTCCTGGATCAACCAGGGACTTTGCGGTGTCCCTGGGATCTACAGGATGTGCCCTATATAATCGCCGTCGCTATGGGACGGCTTGGGTCCTTCGGGACCAACCAGCAGCGGAGATATCGGCTGCGATCTTGGGAGCTCAAGATCGCACAACGTACCGCCGCCACGCCAGCTCTCCCCCCCCCCCCCCGAAGCCCATACATCTTGAAGTTGCCAAGGTTGAGAAACACTGATCTAGATAACTTTTCTTTTGCTTAAAGCTCATTAGTTATACTAGGAACTGTTTATGTTCTGCCCAAATTAGTATTTTGCTGAAGAAAAGCAAATTCTCCAAAAGACATTCCACATCTGTCATAAAAAGATCTTGAATCTTAAGTTTTGGAATTTGGACCTTTAATAAAAAAAATGGGATGGCTCAGAAAATGTTGGATGTTTTCCATTACTGTATACTCAAGTGACCCCACTGCTTTAGAAACTGCATTGGTTGCCATTTGGCTTATGGGTGTGATTTAAGGTATTGGTTGTCATTTGTAAGGCCCTATGTGGATCTGGACCTGGTTATTCGTAGGATCACCTTCTCCAAACTGCCCATCTTATCAGATCAAACTGGGTCAACTCATTCCAAGTCTTAACTATTTGAGAATGCCATTTGATTGCAACTAAAAAATAAGCAATTTTTATCACTGCCCCCGTGCTTTGGGATTCCCTCCTTATGAATATAACTGTTCCTCTTGAATTTTAGGAGAGCAATTAAGATCTGGCTTTTCCATTTGGTCCAGAAGGAAGGTATCTTATAAAAATTGGGATGCATTAGTGTACACATGACTTTGTATGTCCCTTATGATGCTGTTAGGATTATTATTATTTTTGGGTGTGTTTATTTTTATTCAAGGGATTCAATTATGTTTTTGATTGTCAGCCTCTCAGGAATGGGTAACATACAAATATAATAACAAATAATATGTCCTACCACAACTTCAGACAACTGAATTAATTTTTAGTCAAGTTTCAGACTTATAAAAATAAAAATTATTGTTTAATAGTGATAAATTGAACATCAGTTCCCATAATATCTAGCCAATGTGTTGCTGTTGAATTACTGGAGTTGAAATCCATTGAAAGCTAGAAAGGCTGATTTGAGAATATACTTTAACTAATTTCATTAAAATCCATCTATATACAAACAATATAGGCCATCATTTATAAACAGTTGTTAAATATTCAAAAGCAAAATCATTATCCTCAAATACTTTCTCCCTATAGGCTTGAAAATCTTGAATGTGTGAGTTTGGATAATAACGAACTGGAAAATATTCCCAAAGAATTTTGTTGCCTTCAGAATTTGCATGAAGTTCACTTATCCCACAATTTCATCACCACATTGCCTGAAGAGATCAAACATCTGACAAAACTCAAGATCTTGATTTTGTCAAGAAATAAAATAGAATACCTCCCTGATGTGAGTAGCTATGCTTTTTGGGGGAAAAAAAAGTACATCATGTTGGGATCATTAAAAAAGCCATGCCTTTAGGACTGGGATAGGGAATTTTCAGAAGCTCAGTCAAAAGAGCTAGTGATGATGGAACTTGGGAACTGTTCTGAAGCAACATTTGGAGAGATGAGGTTTTTCACCCTACTTCAGGTGATCTTTTGTGTAATGTTGTAGTTAACTCATCTTAAAAGCTGCAGTGATCAGTTTTGTTATTTGGTATATAAACATGCAGTAGTATATAACTGAAACAATAGTCAGAGGTTCTGTTCATGTAAAGTAGTAAATGTGTTTAAATAGTGTAACATAAGAGCAAACATCACAATGTGAGTTTTTTGTCTTTACAGGTTGGCTTCCAACCTTTAGCCTAAGTCAATTTTTATCCCTGCTTTTTTATTTTTATTTTTTGCCTTTCATGAAAAAAATGCTGAAACAGTTAAAGGCCATTGGAATATTGCTAGGAGAGTTAAAGAAAAATAATAAAGTCTAATAAATTATTTGGATTAAGTCCAAATGTCATGTTTAATTGCTGTATGTATATTAAATATAAAAAAATGCTAAAAATATAGAAAGAAGTAAAGCTTAAACAGTCACCCCTAATCCTTAATCAAAGAAATGTGTATTTAAAATTTAAAAATGTTTGTGTCTGGTGAAGGTGCCACAGGTTATATGAAATGTGTCCAGAATTCCACAGATTGCTTCAGCTTCTGTATAAGCTACTTTCTCAAATACATGAAACACCTCTGGAAAATTTTGATCAGCTTGTTATGGAGAAAAATGGGACAAAAAATGGAACTTTTCAGAGCCGAATTGTTCTTCAACATGGAATGCCTTGCATAATTCTAGTCATGGGGTCCTATGCAACAATATTGTTTTTCTCAGGTAGGCTGACGCCACCTGTTTAGTTATGGCATCTCTCCTTTTTGTACCGAACAAGAAACCCTTTTAGGATTTCCATTTCTCCTTTGAGGTTATAATGGTAAATCCTAAATAGCCAGCTTTGCTTCTGTATGTACTCAGGAGATTAACCCTATTAATATTCACTCCAGAGTATAAAAAGATTGTTTAATGCTCCAAGAATACAAGCCAAAATAAAATTAGGGAGCAAGCCATATCATTACCACCACTGGTCTATCTTTCCCTGGGAACTGTCAAAAGCTTTCCATAATACGATGTGATCCTTACTTTGCTGTCCTTCTCCTAACAGGAGCTGACTTTTCTCTGAATCTTTTACTTCCCTACCTGATAAGACAATATTAATCCTATCGGGTGGTCAGCCCCTCTGAAAGCTATACTGAAAAAAGTTGGATTATTTTCTGTTGAATTTCAAATAAAGTCTATTTTGCTAAACTGATCTTATATCTCTATACCTCTATCATCTCTGTATCTATCTAAAGTAGGATACTATTAGATTTTTAATTGTTAGAGTTAAGTGCATAAGACAGTTCAACTCATATTGTATGGACAAACACCTCCCAATTTGACCTCCATAGAAATTTCATTATACTACCAGCTTATGTTGCTTAAATAGGACTCAGAGTTAATTTCAGACACAGTGTACTGTTTTTTAAAAATCCAAATACTTTTTATTACCTTAATTCATCACAGCAGTGTTTTAAAAGCAGTGGGCAATGCAATGAACCTTCAGCCAGCTGAGCGCAGAGGAGCAAGGAAAGCGAAAGCAGGGTTATATCAGAATATGGGGATGGACTTTTGATAGATCAAAGGTCAGACAAAATAAAAGAATGGGAAAAAATGGAAACTGGTAGGATGCCTTTTCCACTCAGAGTCACTTCAAAAGATACCCTTAGCAGTTGCTTGTTTTAATGGGAAGGATCAAAGTGCAGAATAGCTAATATAGGCTGATTTCCCACATCAGAACAAACCATGTTTTTTAAATGGTAGTCTGCTGAATAAGCCATAATTGGCTATATTATTAAAAATATATATATAAATCATGCTTTTGAATCACAGGTGTTTATATTCACACAACATGCCAAGCTGAAACCAAACAGCTACGTGGTAGTTTAGAATGTGAATTCAGCCCAATGTACTTCTAGTGTTATTTTGAAGCCAAAACAAAACATTGATGTATGTTTTTGTTGAAAAGGCAGGAAATAAAAATGTCACGAATAGTATATTCTAATCATAGGGCAAATAAATAACAAGACACATTATCTCCAGAATATTTTATTTAATATATACAAAGAATTAAGATTGACTCTCCCTTTTATCTATAATTTGTGTTCAGCTTCTCTTTCATTACTGCTGTCTTTCTACTCTTCCTCATTTAAGGAAGAGGGCTGCATTTTGCATTTAAGTGGTTTCTTGGGATAATTTTTTTATTAAAAAGATTGAAAGGCTGGAACAAAATAGTCATAATGCCTTGCAAAAAAACTAAATTTGATATAATTTAGGTTACATTTAAGCATAATTAAATTGAATTAATTATTCTCCATGTATTTAATAATTGCTCCTTCTGTCACATTAAAAATTGCAATTTGGTGGTTACTTTTGGGGATACTCTGAGAATACATTCAAGGCATCCAGCTCTGTGAAGCAATAAACACAGAAACTTTATGCACATTCACTTGGGAACACACTCTCTGGAATGTCAGAGTAGGTCTACATAGGACTGCACTGTAAGCCAGTTATTTTAATATTGTTAATTCACATTTATCATTTTTAGGGAATCTGCAAGCTGAAGAGGCTTAAGGTTCTTGATGTTGCAGGAAATAATATCCAGATTTTTCCCAAAGCAGTAAGTATGAGTATTAAATAAATCTCTTCAATGGAAACCTCCCTCCCCAATCTTTTAGAGAAGTCTAATGGTTGGCCCAGAAAATACCCAAATACAGTACATTTCCAGCAATGTCATAAATGTTCTGTAAAAAGTCAGTGAAGAAAGAATAGCAATCCCAGTGAAAAGAATGTAGAAGCACCCTGGAACTCCCGACAGTTTATATTTTATGAAGATGTTCATAAAAGAAAATCTTTAGGATTTTAAAGAAAGTTTAATAAAGAGGGTAGAGTCAGAGCAGCGTTTCTCAGTCTCAGCAACTTTAAGATGCCGGCTGGTTGGGGAGACTGAGAAACACCGAGTTAGAGAATATGTTGTATGAACAATCGGTACTTCTGCTCACCGAAGAATGGTATCTGATTTCTACTGATTCTGGCTTTCCATACTTTCTACAGTGGCTAGAAGAAGGCAGAAAACTCCCGCTGTACAAGGGGAACTCTGACCACTGAATCTCCAAACAGTTTAGAGTTGTAGAATATTTGCAATAAGATCAGCCGTCACTTGAGGGCAGCATTAAATTATGACCCATGACTCCCTTAATGTTTCTTACAGCTTAATCTAAAAAGGTATGATAGTTCACCCAAGAAACAATTTCAGGGCAGCATTTGAGCCTTCATACTCAGTCCCAGTTGCTGTAATATAGCAAGAGTCTGTAATTATTAAATGATTGCCTATTATTGGTATTGCTGAAACTACGGCATTGTTGTTCGGCAGCATGGACTATACTCAGCCCTTATTTCTGTTCTTGTGTAGGAGAGTTAGAGAAATAATTAACTTTCCCTTTTACAGCAATAGGATACTATTACCTGGACTCGATGGTCCTCTTAATAGCATTTGCCTTTTTAGCAGCTGTACCATACTGCTGGATCATGTTCAGTGTGTGGCTGACAAGGATACCTTGCTCCTTTTCACACATACCCCTGCCAAGCCAGATAGCATCTGTCCTATACTTGTGCCTTGCATTTTCCCTATCCAGATGCAAAACGCTACATTTCTCCCTGTTGAATTCCATTCCACTCTCCAGTCTTTTCTGTCTCCTTTAAGTTATTAGCCACCCTTCCCAACTTTATGTTGGCTCACTTGAAAGCCATCACGGATCCCCTGTTAGATCCACTGCAGTTTGCCTATCGGGGGAACAGGTCA